GTGGCAGCTCCAGTCAAAAAGATTCAAACAAACCGATCACAACTTCTGTGGTGGTTTGTGCTGCCATGTTGTCGGATGCAATGGTCTGTGGTTATGTTTGGATGGTGAATCAGTGGTTCCATGCGGTATGACACAGGCAGAACACCGAAAAATCTAGTGCGAAGATAAGCGCCAATTGTAACTTGGCGGACCAAGTATTAGCAAACATCACTTGTCTAGTGAGAAAGTGCCTTGCCTTCGTACACCGTATATTCACCATCATACTTTATTCAAACAGGAGTGCGTGAAACATTTGGAAACTTGAGAAGAGTCACAAAAGCAGGCGCAATTTACTGTGCATTCTCCGTATCCTTGTTGAAATCGCACGCACTGGATTAAAAAAACCACTCGTTGTGGTCATTACGAGTAGATCCCTCCGAACTCATCAAACACCAGTGTTCTTCGCGTGGTCAGGATGGGATTCTAACACAGTTTCCTAATTCGTCTTGCCGTTTCACGGCTTGCAAATGGTCCCAATTACCACATACACTTGGCGTGTGGTTGATCAAATGCAGTGGTACCCTACAAAGCCGGCCGGCACCAAATTTAGCGCTTGGGGCACAGAATAGGATATAGTTTAGGTCGAGTGCTGCATTCATCCCCATCCCCCCCCCCCATATATCCACAACCATGCAGTGGCGTGTCGAGGATTTGGATGAGGGGGTCGTGGCCGGTCGAGATGACATGGTGCACATGACTGTAATGATGTATGTCACGCACCTAGCTATCCAACATTACAAAATGATTACATGCCAGGTATTTCTTCCAGACCTACACTATACAGATTAAAGTATCTCATGCTCAGTTACTACAGTGCGTATCGGTTATAGCGTGGTCGTGTAAAAGAATATACTACTTACAAGAATGAACTCTCATATTTTCATAATCATAACATGGGTTTCAAGTGAACATTTATTCTTACTTCTTCGCGTCATTAAAATTGTCGCTTCCCAGAGCGATTTTTCAAATTTATTTTGTCCACTCGAAGGGAAAAAAATCAGCTAGAATTGAGGCAGAGCATTGTCGACGGACCAATCTTTAGTTTGCGGCCTCCCGCTTCGCTGCACTTGCAGCTAAGGTCGACGTCTTCATCAGAGTTTGGGGAAGGCCCTTCAGCACTCAGCAATGTGCTGAACAAGACGTGCGTTCAAATTCAGGTAAAGAAACTTCGTTTTCAAGCGATCCATGCCTCCAGATGGCAGGCGATGAAGGCAAGCTAGCATTTTTCAAGTACACTGTAACGATCTTCCAGCGGGATAGGGTGAGTAGTTCCGCAACTTCTTTCCTTGGCAAGCGCTTCGCTAATTTTGTTGGTGTTTTCAGACCTGCTACCTTCGTAGCAACATGCGACACAAGTAGCGCATTTTAGGAATTTTAGAACACTTTGTTCCTGCAATCGTCAACTTCAGCATTTCGTATTCAGGAGAGATACCAGGATTCTTATACCCGAGCTTGCAGTCTTGATAAATACCCACGCGAACGATATGGGACGGCACGAACTCCAGAAAAACGATATGCGCTCTGGGGCGAAAGAGTGCGGAGCACGATGAATTTGCTTGGTGCGGAAGAGAGCTCCGACAAAGTCCGAGACCACCACGGCTTCAGTAACAAGTAGAGATTGCGCAGGAAGGGTCGCACCAATGCTCGAACACAGAAAACAGCGATTCCGACGGTCTGACTAAGACGAGCCAAGTCACAAACATTGCGATGTGCGCAGCGACAATTTTAATGACGCGGAGGAAGTACAAGCAATGTTATCGCATTGTAGAATATATCGGTCCTAAAGCTGTGTTCACAACTGGCGCGTGTACGCGGTACGCTTGCGGTTCATGCGTGCCCAAACGCGCGCTCAGGCTTTCACAAAAAAACAGCAATCCGAGTCGTAGTTAGTGCGTGCGACACCTTCGAGTACTAATTTTTTGACCCCGCCAATCAAGGTGACTGGCATGTACGCTGGTACGCGCATGATACGCGTTGAAAATTCCAACATGTTGGAAGTTCCATTCCGACGCGTTTCCGTACGCATGGCGCCCCAAAAGCCAGCAAAATACGCACAAACACGTGGTTTCACGCGTACACGCGCCAGTTGTGAACACAGCTTAAGAATGGACTTTGTGTAGCAAAACATACCAGATTGGTACAAAGTGTATCGCCTGTAGATGAGTGTAGTAATAACATCTGTCCAATGCAGTTCTGCTCCGACTCGCATTGCATTGTAGTGCGCCAGGTTCAACTGTTCTTGTCATGTATCTCATGCTGCATAGCCACATGGCAAGCGTATGAGACTATGAACACCCGCATGCACAGCAGAGATACGTTGTATGTATGATGACCATCCTGTGTCTGCGCACATGTATCTGATATGTCACACTTGACTTATCGCGAGCAAGAAATATTGCAAGTAAGAATAGAAAGTCGTTTTTCAAACACCCACGCTATAACCGATACCTACTGTACATTGTACAATCATCAGTCATGTTACTTGTACAGTACATCCTTGCCCAATTTTTATTGGAGCATATCATGCTGTTCTTCATTATGTTTTGGCTGCTCACTGACAACCGGTACTGGTACCTCCGCGTCGGGCGGAATGTCAGTTCGTTCCGAACTGGACTGGCAACGACTTGATCACTCCCACTGTTTCCTGTTGGAACAGGAATTGCGCCGTCGCAAGAACGCTTTGCAAAAATCCATCAAGGCTGCTGCTGGCCAGAGCTTGTATTCTTTGGTCCATGGATGTCGCTGAGACTTCGCAGAAAAGTCTTCAAGTCAACCAATTCGCGATTCGAATCTGGAGGGGATCATCCTCAAAACAACGTTGTACACCGTTGCGAAAAGAGGCGCTTGACGATCACAAGCTTTGTTTTTGTCCCACTTGGGCAGCGCTGCGTTCAGCACATCACTGCACGCCTTTCTCAAGACGCACCGAGCGTGTCCTGGAATCTGTAAAAAAGCATAGAGCTCGTACAGAGTCGATCATTTCTTTCACAGTGCAATGCCGCTCACACACCGACGGTCCGTGCAACTAGTTTTGGACGCTGCTTCCCACCGCATAGAGTCTACCGCCTGTGCACATGGTGCATGTAGCAACCTGGTGTTTTTTCAAACCCAGGTCGAAATTTTTTGAGGGGGGGGGGGGGTGGTAGCGTGCCCCCCCCCCCCCCCCCCCCCCGTAAACCCGCCAATGCCATGTGATAGGGACCATTAGCAAGCCGTGAAACTGCAACGCGAAGGGGGAGCTGGGTTAGAGTCCCGTCCTGAGCACGCGAAACATACTTGTGTTTGACAAGTTCGGAGGGGTCTACTCGTCATGACCGCAACAAGTGGGTTTTAGTCAAGTACGTGCGAATTCAACCATGATACGGAGAATAGCACCGTAAATCGCGCCTCGTTTGGTCTTTGCTATTTTCTTCAAATTTCGAAGAATGTCTCACCCATTCTTGTTGGAATAAATACGATGGCGGAACGTACCAAACAACCAGTAGGACCATTGATTTTGCCATAACCGTTACTAACATGACACAGAACAGGATCGAGGGTAACCACAGTGCCAAAATTTATGCTTGTTCAAGACAAACTTCAGCTTGCTCGCTCATTTATGTTTTGGCATGGACCTCGTGAACACAACCCTTTGCTGCACCCATCCATCGGCGATGTGGCTGTCATGGGGTTTCTTTCACTTTCATTCGGGTAAAAAAAAGTCAGGCTGAGAATTGTTCTCAAGGAAAAGTTCGCAAAAAATAATAGCCAGTAAAAATATCAGAAAACTGTTTGAAACTGGAAAGCAGCCGACTCGCGTAGACGGGTTGGGAACGCGAGAAGCTAATCCTCAACCACGCCGTGTTTCACGTGCGTTACGATGAACTCATTACCCCCGTTGACGTTTCACGGCTTGCTAATGGTCCCTAATAGTTCACCCAGCCCCCCCCCCCCTCTTTAATCTCAGGCTGGCTAGGACCATGGAGACAATATCGTTATTTCGTACTCGGACCCCTCCCCCCACTCTGAAACGAACGCAGCTTGCTATGCTGGACGACGATAATCGCATGCATGTACAAGTACAATGTACAGTGTCGGTCGAGTTGTGATTTTGGCTCACACCCCTACACCCCCCCCCCCCCCCCCCAACACAAATGATGCTCTCGTTTCAGAGACGACAAAAAACTTTTGCGAAAATGAAAACTGTACAAGCTCACGCGCCCACAGACTCGTAGTACATGCCTCGTACGGTATGACTCATCATCTCCAGAAAAGTCAACAAAACAAAACATTCCGCCATGGCCAGACCAAGCGGAGTTACACACTCTCGTGTTTATGTACTCTTGATCTCATGGACAGCTGTACAAATGTAGGACATGGTGGTGGTAGGTAGGCCTAGCCCAAATTTGCCGGCAATTCTTCCAGCAAAATATCGAATTTTCCAACGAAAAGAAATTGCTGGCAAATTCCGAGCAAAATATCGAATTTGCAGAGGATCCGGGTGTGTTTTGGTAATTTTATTCAAATTTCGTTGGTTTCATTGGGCCAACGTCGTGCTGAAATAGCTCGTGCAGGTTGTCAGGGGTACATAAATTTGAAATCATGCTCCAAAATCCGTAATACTGACACCATTATAAGTTTTGCTTTCCTCATCAGAGTCACCATCCACTTTTACCAAAGTAGACGGCTCATTCGAAGCCATTTTTGCCACAAAGCAGGAGCAAAATGGAGCAAAATATCGGAAACGAAAGGCAATGCCAAGCAAAATATGGAAAGTGATCGGGCAAAATTTGCCGGCAAAATATCGAAGCGCCCCGAGCAAATTTGGGCTAGGCCTAGTGGTAGGTGCACCTCACGTGACTCACGTGACACCTAGTCACTGCATAGTTCAACCAATCAAATGTACGACACGCTGTAATGTTTACTGTAGACACACAGTACATCTAAATTCAGTCACTCACAGTCAAGTCTACTGTACATAC